CGCTTGAGTCCTTGAGATATTTCCAACAGCACTGAAATGTGAAACCAATTTTATTGGGTTCCTATGCAACATAAAAAAAAACTGAGATGTATAGATTTTGAGGCCTTTTGGCCTAACTTAATGCACGTTTCCACATCATTACAGACGAATACATATAAGGCGACGTACCGGTAGGTGTTTGACACACATTTAACAATTGGGAAAATAGGAAGCTTAGGAGGAGTACTTTTCAACAAACAACCGCACCTTCCAGTACCTCCGCACTGCAGCGGCCTGGAACACGCGCGAGCACCGCGGAGAAGTGGGCGGCCTCTTGTCTGTGCTGAGGACGATGGAGGTCAGTGCAGCCACTCAGCAACACTGGAGGCTGGGATTTCTGTAGTCCTGGAAGAGTGTAATAACACCAGCATTTGGCATGGCAGGCTCACGAGTCGCGATTGCACCCAACAGCAAAGAAACGAACGGGCTTCCGTTTTGCAATCAAAACACCCCGCCGCCATCAGTTCCAGTTCCAGGGGCTCGAATTGGAGTGAGGATGAGGAAAAGCACAGCACAGCAGTTACTGATAGTTTCAACCAGGGCGAATCCGGGGGTCAGGCATAAGTATTTCTGAAACCCGAAGTGTTGGGCCGTATTATTTCCCTGAACCAGGAGGCCATTGTGTTCTCCCCATTCCAGACTAATTGAACACTGCAGAATCGTGATCATCTACTCATATCTCCTCACTGGTGATTCGGGGCGGGGTTGGAGAGTACAGGAGGGTGTATGGTGCATTTCGTGAAGAAAGTCGAGGTTAAAAGTAGAGGTTAAATCCTAACGAAAAAAACAGAACCGTTTGAAAACAGCGCCAGGAGAGGGAGGCGCGTAGAGAGGGAGAAGGGGTCGGCTTGGGTTGCCTCCGTGCCCAACGACACTTGCACCACTCTGTTGCAACACACAGTCTTTAAAGACTCCGGGAAATCTGTAATACTCGATCTTTGTTTCAGGGATTTCCCCATATCGAACCCATAACATCCCCCAGGACCAGCACCATGCATCTGGATTTTGCGGGCATGAAGGACATTTTTCCTGGTATTGACGACCCTGGTTTCAACGACAAAAACACTTCCTGTGAAACCCAGCAGTGAGTGTTTCTTGAGACACTTCACGAAACAGACCGACCGTTTTTTCGCGCGGCCTAAAACAGTAACCCATAAATGTTCAACCGGGGAAATCGGGACATTAAGCTGGAATGTTACTGTACCTCCCACGGTTCGTGTTTCCTTTGTGTGGAGATTCGAAGTTTCCAATAGCCACTCGGTTATGGGCCGTGATCGGTAAGCCGTTATTCCGGAATGCGGAATCTGCTGCGAGTTTTCCGTATTCCGCGCGTTGACTCGCTAGGTTAGGTAGTGCGAGAAGTTGGGCTGGTTTATGTGCGAAATTGCGTGATACAACCGACGCGTCTGAGCTGGCAAATCTCCAAACTTGCCCGCCAGGATCTGGGTCACGAAAAACAAAAGGGATTCTTGCAAAAAAAAAAATTCAAGGGCCTTGCACATCTGGCCTGATATCGAAATGCGACCATGAATTTGTTTTCTTGGCGGTCAAACACAGCCTGGTAGTGGGTATTCGACGTTTCCCATTTTCAAAATAAGGGCATTCGTTATTGTGTCTGGATTGCCCCACTCTTCACTATTCCCAGCTATTCCTGCAAAAAAACTGGAATATACATCGACCGGCTGTAGCACGATTTCGCCCGAGTCACCAGTTAGGTGCCCTTTCCTCATGCCGTATTCCAACCTTCCTTATTCTGATGATCGGTACGCACCTCTATTCCAGGAGGTTTGGTGTGATTAAAAAGATTGGTTGGCTTTAAGCTTATTCCGAGCCAGGCCTGAGAAATTGCTCGACACCATCCTAATTCCAGAATACGGCCAACTGATTAGGGCCATGGCGATGATCGGGAGCCACCAAGAAAGGAAGGCTGGGCGAAACCATGGTGGCTTGGTGAGAGCGGTTCGAGGGCGCATTTCTTACTCGGAGAAGATCCCAAGTGAGGGCTTTGGGGCTTCAGATATACAGTCTAAGACGCTTGATGAAATTGCAGGATAATCCCGGCCGTGAAATTTATGCCCCGAAAACATGCCACAAGGCTTGGACTCGGCGTAAAACACTCCCTCAGTGGTATCCAAGAGGTATGCCCTCTATGCTGGCGGATTTGCGCCTGGGGGGAAAAGGGGGAAACTAGGGGAAAACCGAAGGGGGGGCTAATCGAAAGCGAAAGCCTTCGACCTAGAGGCTTCGACCCAAATATCTGGCATTTCCAAGCGTGCACGATAATGTGACAGGGCAGCAAAAGAAAACGCAAAATTGAAAAATTGTGCAATCTTGGCAGCCCAAACTAGAGGCAGAAAATTGAAAAATTGTGGAATCTTGGCAGCCCAAACTTAAAACGCATACGCGAATTAGTGTCTGTGCGTTAGGTAGCCCACCGAGTTGGGATTTCATGAAGGAATATTCAAGCATTGGAGTGTATTCGTACAAAGTCCTTCCGCCCCAATCCAAGGGATTGGTTTTCAATTCTTGCAGTAAGGGATCCATCGCAAAAATTCAAAACCAATCCCTCCGTAGGCTGGCGGAACCCTTCCGCCTAGGGGGAGCTCGTTTCCCTGGACGGAATGGGGGATTCAATTTTGGTTTGGTGTTCGGGCCAAATCTATGAGCCTGGTTTGGGTGCTTTTATCGAATTCTCACCACCGCAAACTGACGTAGGCCCCTAGCTCAGAGCTAGGGAACCTTCGTTTCGAAGCTTCTTAGCTCGATTCTGGTTCCCCGAGGTGGCTCTCGATCAGCGCTGTGAATTTGTTGCACTGCTTGGGGGAAGATGCGTGTCGACGTTCAAGTGACGGAAGCTCGAAAATGGAGACATAAAAATTCACGCGCGAAATTATACGCTGGGTAACTCTTACTATTCATTTTTCCGATTTAGTCACTTTTTTCTCATCTCGGTCAATGTTTTATCAAGTCGGAATCAGCAGCGTCAATTTTTTTGTTTGTTTTGATGCCGCATGGCAAAATCTTTCGACACGTGTACCAGAAATGCGTTGTCTCAAAACATCAAGAGATGAACACAACGTCCAAACTTTGAAGAGAAAACTTCATAGCTAGTAGAGGATTCTGTCCCGGTTGGCATTCGCACACAGCTCCGCGACGCGTTATTGAGATACACACATGCCGGCTAGGGCATCCTGAAACAAAATAAAACCCGCATCAGCCCGTATATATACGGATATGTCAATTAGGGCAGTCTGAAACAAAATAAAACCCGCAGCGGCCCGATATTCGACTTGGGGTGGCATCAACCCTAAAGACGCACAAAGCCATAAATTTAGCCACTACGAGTCACATGCGAGCTCCGATGGGTTTGAGTTTTGTGGGCATCCCAAAAAACAAAACGTCATTAATAGTGACATAAGTCTAGTTTACACCCCGAAGAATGGCTTCTGCAACGAAAATAATATTTCTTTCCATTCGGGGATTTTCGTGACAACTAGTAAATTCGCACATGTTCAGTTGCGCAATTTGTGTGCGCTTTGTCTGATCACTATTTCTAGCCACAAGAAGACAAAACTTGGCTAGTCAATCTTTACGAATATAATATACTACGAAATTTGAATGTGAGTGAAATCAAATGTTGTTTTTAGATATAGTTTCTTTTTTTCTGTCGCTAAAAATAGTCTCCATATTCTCTAGGATTTTGCCATTTTCGGACACATATCAAAATATTTTGCCATGCGGCATCAAACTGATAAAAAAATTTGATGCTGTTGATTTCAACTTGATAAAACATTAAATGAGATGAGAAAAGAGTGACTAAATTGGGGAAAATAAAAGTAAGAGTTAACCAGCGTATAGTTTCCCAATTCACACGTCGCCTGGTTACGTCAGTAGCCAATTAACGTGAGACTGTATTTCGGGGGAAAGGAGCTGGCAATGTTTCTTTTCCTACTGTAAGCAATATTGGTTCTGTCTGCTGAAAACACTAACCGTAAACAGGTGTAAATAGAGGGAGTTTCAAATGTGTTGTATGTACCTGCCCACGACCAGCCCTCTCGCCTGAAGGTTTTGCGCTCACGTTTGTACTGTAGTCATCACCACAGTTCAACGACACAATGCAGCGTGCAAAACACCCTCCGCTCACCTCACAATCACAACCCCAGAAGTTCCGCGGAGTGGGGGAAGCTTGACCGTTGGATCAGTTTTGGGTCAGGGAGCATTGGGAGATTCATGGTTCACTAAACTCTCGGCTGAACCTCCCGGACCTAGTCAAACACAACTGTTGTTGTACAGAACAAGAAACTCAAGGTGTCCTAAGCGTACGTGCAAATGCGGTTGAGTGAGTTTGATTACGTTTCGAAAGAATAAAATAGTTTCTTAACACGGTTCGGTAGGGTAGGAAAAATAAATCGAACGCTTAGGACACGCTCAAGTGATAAAGTATCATGAAGTGAATGCTTTGAACATCTTCTCAACACATGACGAATAATATTCGGGGCATTTCCCGTACTTTACCATCCCCTAAGCATGTCAGATTAGGAGGAAAGTCAGCAGAGGCTATCCTCTCTTCCCTTCCCCCTACCCACCACCACATTCGCCATGACTGGAGCCAAGTGGACTTGCGCTTCACATCACCTGCCACGCTGATGCACAACGAAAACCCTGTCTGGGCTGCGCGCGCAAGTCCGTGCTGCTCAGGTGCGAGTTACTGTAGCAGAGCGAGCGGAGAACCACCCTTCAGCTCCCCGCAAGCCATCCCGCTCCGGAGCACCCCAGAAGGCAGAGGTAGAGGTGCGGAGCGGAGGTGTTGTGGATGGAGGGAGGAGGTGGGCGGAGGGCGGGAGGCAGGAGGGGGGCGGGGGGAACCAGCATGACATGGCAAGCAACCGTAACTGTAGTGTTGAGTTGAGGGTTGCTAGAGACTGCACTGGACGCAGGAGCACCAAGCCAAGCCACCCCCTCCCTCTGGCCTTCCCCTAGTCTTCTAGTTTCCACAGCTGGCAGTGAACAGCAGCAGGTGGTTGCATGCCAGGCCTAGACCCTTACGATTGTAGTACGCCTTAGGATGCTCCTGGTGCTTTGAGTTGTACGCTTAGATACCGGCAGCCGTACACAAGGAACATAGTAAAATTTATTTTCTAGTCCGCGTCACCGGTTGTGTGTAAGAGTAGTCGTTCTCTCCCAGATAGCGGCGCGAGAGTGGGTTTCTGCCAGCCGGGATGACGCCGCTGTGGAGTCTAGACCGAGTAGACATATCCTGTCCGCTGGCATATTTGGACCGTTAACCTATTTCGCTCGTCGTCTTGGCTTTCCCATAGTTTTTCTGGTGTCTATAGTACCGAACCCACAGGCCTTCCCATACTCTGCGCTTTTTCAGTCACTCAGCTTCCGGTAGCTATTGCCTCGAGCGACCCTCTCGAAACCAGCTCGCCGCAACTCCCGCCTCTCTGCCGAGGGCTTTCTTAAGGGCGATACTGTAGAATCAACCGGTTTCTTCAGGCCGTTCTAGGAAGCGCCTCAAGGCTCGCAGCACCATGCGACGGTTACGCGCACCTGTGATCTCAATGGGGATACTAAGAGCAGGCGGGAGGGTGCGGGGCGTGGTCTTGTCATTGCTGATCATAGCCGTCCTCTTCTTCTGCCAAACCATATTCGCTCGAGGCATTCCTACGACTAGCCAGAACCGTAGGCTCCCTATACTTCCTGGCGTTTTTCCCCTTAGTTTAGGGTTTCCTTTTCGTCTTGCTTTACTCCCTGACTGCCTCCCAACCAAAGCTCTCTGCTTCCGCTGCCGTCCTTCTGGCTTGTCTATCGCTTCGTGCCTAGTCACCTGTCAATCGCATGTCCCTGAACCCCCGTTACAAGGCTAGTATGAAAGCTTCGTTATAAGGTGGCAGCGGGAGTTCCGTTTCCCAGCATAGGAAATGTAACGCGTTTCGCGTGCATGTTTCCCCGTCGAGATCCTCCAATTCTTAGCAGAACTGCTTTGTCTCCGTTAGGACTGTGCCGACCCATATCTTCTAAGTCTACCCCCCTACCGACCCGTGCCGTCCCTTGCTGAGGCTTCTGTCAGTGGAAGCGAAGCATATACCTTGATTTCCTCAGTTTTTTTTTTTTCCGGACGTCGTCTCGAGCGGTTTCGACTGGTCTGGAGCCGTCTAAAGCCGTCTAGAGCCGTCTAACCGTCTTCCCTCCTTTCCCTTCCTCCGTTTTCTTCCTCCGCTGTTCTGTCATGTCGACCGAACGAGGTCGAGAGTCGTCTTTTTCGAAAGTCGTTTTCGCAGTCGTTTCCCTCTCTCTCACAGCTGTACGCTGACCCCGCCTCCCCCTAGTTCGCACAAGCGTGTATCCGAGTCTCCTCGAGAAATCTCTCTCTAGTACTTCCGCTACGTCACTCTTCAGATTTCCGCCCGCCTCTCGTCGGTACCCGTATCTAGCATCCCCCCTCTTTCGTCCGTACCCGCATTTAGCATCCCCTGTCTTTCGTCCGTACCCGCATTTACCATCCCCCGTCTTTCGTGGGTCCCCGTATTAGCATCCCCCGTTTGTCGTCCGGACCCGTAATTAGCATGCCCCATCTTTCGTCTCCTCCCGTCTTTAATCGCTCCCGTCGACAGGGCAAACATCTCGGCAAGCATCGGGGGTTCCGTGCTACGGAGAAGGTTAGTGGGGGGGGGGAGGGGAGGGGAAAGCGGGGAATCGGCGAGATGGCTTTACTGTGTACAACGCGTGCTCTGCGCACTTTGGGCACTGCGGGCACTGCGGGCACTGCGGGCACTGCGGGCACTGCGGGTACTGCGGGCACTGCGGGTACTGCGGGTACTACGGGTACTGTGCGTGTCGTGGGTACTGCTTTCAAGCACTCCGGTGTCGCTAACACAAGCCCCCCCTCCCCCTTCCACTATTCCTTCGCTTCTCACTCGCTCCCCTTCCTTTACCTTCCCCCCTCTCCCCACTCTCTCCCCGCGCACTCGCCGTCTCCGCTTCTCCCGCCCGCCTTCCCCCCTGCCCCCGTGTGCTCCGCAGGGTGTATGGTGGTGCGGCGGCAGCTGAGCCTGTCGGACTTCTTTAAGAGGTGGTTCGGCGGGTGGCGGAAGCCCGGCAAGCATACCAAGAAGCGCCCGCCCATTCGCATCTTGCCAGGTGCGCTGCGCTGCTCTGCTCTGCCCTCTCTCGCTCGCGCCGTTTCTCCTCGTTCTCCCCCAACACGCGTATGCGCACTCTGACCTCCCCTTCAAGCGCGCGCGTTGCCCTCTCCCCTTCCCCTTAATAACACACCCAGAGCTCCCTTCCCCCCCTCTCCTTTTCCCCCCACAACCCCCCCGCCCCCCTCCCCTCCGCGCGCGCTGCAGGCAACAAGACCCTGGGGCTGAACTCGCTGCGGCGCATGTCGCTCAACTCGCGCGCGCAGTTCAACCCCGTCTCGCGCTACCTCACCACAAACCTCGCGTTCGACCCCGCCACGGGCGCGCCCGTGTGGGACGTAGAAGGCTCCTTCGGCGTCGCCTCTCAGTACGCCGACCCCCCCGACCAGGGCCTGTGCAGCACGTGCTGGGCGTTCGCCGTGGCGGGCGCCGTGGAGGGCGCGTACTACGCGTTCACGAACGCGCTGCCCGCGCGCACGACGCTGTCGGTGCAGCAGCTGCTGGACTGCACAGCGGGGAGCTGCTGGGGGGGCTACCCCGAGGACGCGCTGCAGTACATCTCGCAGAGCCGCCTGGGCACGGACTCGGAGTACTCGTACAGTGCCATGGAGGGCACGTGCCTGGCTAGCAAGATCGTGGTGCGTGCGTCCTGTGCGCCGGCGGGCGGGCGGCCGTGCGGGCGCGCTGGGGACTTGATGCTTTGATGCGTTTGCGCTGGGGATGCTGGGATGCTGGGATGCTGGGATGCTGGGATGCTGGGATGCTGGGGGTGCGGTGATGGTCTGAGGCTCTGGTCTGGTTCGGTGGTGCTTGGGGCGCGTGGGTGTCTCGATGACCTGTCTCAGTCGGCGTTCGCCTGCTGTACCTGCTCTGCCTGTTTCCGCTTTTCTCCTCTCTGTTCGGGCTGCCGTGTACACCCCTAACGCCCCACTATCTACGCCCCTCCGCTCCCCCCGCTCCCCCCGCCAACCCTTCTCCGCTCACCCGCCCCCCCGTTCACCCATCCCCCCTGTCTGACGGCGTCTCCCCTGTGTGCAGCCGAGCGAGGCGGTGCGGATCACGCTGTACGAGCAGGTGCCGCTGCCGGGCGCGCTGGGGCTCATGCTCGTGGTGCAGACGCAGCCCGTCATCGTCACCATCCGCGCGTCGCAGCCGTCGTTCGTCGACTACCAGGTAAGCGGCTACGGCACTGGTGGGCGGTCGTCGCAGGTCTCGCGTTTTGTTAGCCGACTCAAATGCCCGTGGTGCAGACGCAGCCGGTGATCGTCGCCATTGGGGCTGTCACAGTCGCTGCCGTCGTTCGTGGAGTGCCAGATGCGGCGGCGGCGGCGGCGCTGGGCAGCCCTCGCTCGCGGTTGTTTCTTTGCTTGTTTATTGTTTTTGTTTTTGTTTTTGTTTTTGTTGTTGTTGTTGTTGTTGTTTTTTTTTTTTTTTTTTTTTTTTTTTTTTTTTTTTTTTTGACGCGTTTGGTTGGCGACGCTGCGCCGTATCGGCTTCCTCGCAAGCAGCAGCGCACGGGCATTCATGCACACGCACGCGCGCGCGCACAAGTGATTCCGCTGCTCTGCCCCGCTCCTCTCCGCCCGCCGCTCTCCTCCGTACTGCCTCCCCTCCCCGCCATGCCTCCACTCGACTCGCACCTTCCAGAGTGCTCCCGTCCCCTCCCCCTTCCCCCTCCCCTTACCTCTCCTCGGTTCGCCTCGTCCCTCCCCCTCAGGGCGGCATATACCGCGACGAGGAGTGCTTCGACCCCGACAACCCCGAGCTGGACCACGTGGTGCTGGTGGTGGGGTACCACTACAACGGCCCCTCGGCGCCCGACAACTACTTCCTCATCCGCAACAGCTGGGGTGTGGCGTGGGGAGAGGGCGGCTACATGAGGATTGCCATGAGCTTCAAATACGGCGGCATGTGCGGCATGACGTACCAGCTGGGGCTGTATCCTGTCATTGACCGTGAGTGCTGGGGGGGAAGGGAAGGGAAGGGAACGGTGTGGGGGAGGGGGGGGAGGAGGGAGAGGGGGGTTGGGGTCCCTTTTTTTTTTTTTTTTTTTTTTTTTTTTTTCTGTGCAGGAGCTTTGTCGTTACCTTGCAACGCCCGCTGCTTTCTGGATGGCGCGGCTTGGCCCGGTGTGCTCTCTCCTCTTGCCCCTTCATGCGCACACCTTTGTGAGCCTCCCCGGACGCTCTCCGCCCCTGTTCCCCGCCTCCCGTCCCCCCCCACTGCTCGCGTTCCCTGTTCCCCCCTTCGCAGCAACGAGCCGTGCGAGCTCGTGCATTGCTAGCTGTGGCGGGGGCACGTGCGAGCTGCTGGCGGACAGAAACAACGCCACCAACGGCACCAGCACCACCAGCAGCACCAGCAGCACCAGCAGCACGGACAGCGCAGGGAGCAGCACGAGGACAGGAACGGCAGCAACTGCAGGCGTGGCTGGTGCTGGTATGCTCTCCGTGGCTAGCGTGGAGGACGGGGCACTCATGGGGGAGGAGGAGGAGGACTATCAAGGCATTGCGTCCGTCGCCCCTGGCTCCGTGTCGTCCCGCCCTCGCTCCGCGCGGCAGGTGTCACCCAAGAACAACCTGGACTTCGCGCGCACACGCCTGCGGCAGTGGATGAACAAGGGGGGGAAGGCATGGGGAGGCGGAGGCGGAGGCGGAGGCGGGAGAGGGGGGAGAGCGGTGACCACTACAGCAGCAGCGAGCAGCAACAATCGCGCCGTCACGAGCATGGGAAAGGGGCCGCCAGCGACCGCGGGAGCGGGCCTCTTGGCGTCTAAATCGAATGGGTTGGGGTCCTCTATGGGGCAGGGGAATGGTGTGGGTGGTGGGGGCAACACCGTGACGACGCCTGGGAGTGCTAGTGGCAGCACGAGCACCAGCACGAGCACCAGCACGGGAAGCACTGGAACGAGCACCACGGGAAGCACGAGCACCACGGGAGTTATGGGAAGCACGAGCACTGCTGGGAGCACGAGCACTGCTGGGAGCACGGGAAGCACAAGCACTGCGGGAAGCACTGGGAGCACAGGAACGAGCACCGCTAGTATCGGCACCAGTGGCAGCAGCAGCATTAGTGCTGGAAGTACGGACAGCACAGGGAGCAGCGGCAGCAGCAGCAGCAGTGCAAGCACGGACAGCATAGGGAGCACAGGGAGCGGAGGGAGCACTGAGAGCAGTGGGAGCAGTGGCACAGGTGGTGGCTCCAGCAGTGGTGGGAGCACGAGCTCGGTGGGGGGCAGCGCCAGTGCGACGACTGACACAAGCAGCACGGGAAGCACAAGTAGCAGCAGTGTTGCTACTGCCAATACCGGCAGCACCAGCAGCACCGGCAGCACAGGTAGTGCTGACGGCACGGGTAGCACTGGCAGCACAAGTGGCACGGGAGGCACGGGAAGCACTAAAACCACGGGCAACACAAAAACTTTAGGCAGCGGTGGCATCACCACAAGTGGTGGCGGCAGTGCCACTATTGGAGGCACAGTGGTCGCAGGGAGCGTTGCAACCACCAGCACTGGCAGTACTGGCAGTAGCAGCAGTGATGGCAGCACCGTTGATGGCAGCACCGTTAGCAGTGGCAACACTGACAGCAGCGGCAGCACTGACAGCACTGGCAACACTGGCAGCAGCACTGGCAGCATTGGGAGCACTGGCAGCACTGGCAGCACTGTTGGTAAGGGAAACACTAAAAACAGTGGCAACACTGACAGCAGCGGCAGCACTGACAGCACTGGCAGCATTGGGAGCACTGGCAGCATTGGGAGCACTGGCAACATTGGGAGCACTGGCAACATTGGGAGCACTGGCAGCATTGGGAGCACTGGCAGCACTGTTGGTACGGGAAACACTAAAAACAGTGGCAGCACTGACAGTAATGGCAGCACTGACAGTAGCGGCAGCACTGACAGCACTGGCAACAGTGGCAGCAGTACTGGCAGCACTGGCAGCACTGGCAGCACTGGCAGCACTGTTGGCACGGGAGACACTAAAAACAGTGGCAGCACTGACAGCACTGGCAGCACAGGAGGCACGGGAGGCGCGGGAAGCACCAAAACCACTGGCAGCACTGTTAGCGGTGGGAACGGGGCCAAGGCGGGTGGTGTGGATGGCACGGGAAGCTCCGAAAGCACTGGAAGCACTGCGAGCACGGGAACGAGCACGGTCAGCCTGGGATATATCTTTGCAGCCGGGGTCACAGGAAGCAGTGACACCACCGGTAGCACTGACAGCAGCGGCGGCATCGGCAGCACTGCTAGCAACGGCAGCACCAGCAGCACCAGCGGCACTGGCAGCACTGATAGCACTGGTAGCACTGGGACCACTGGGACCACTGGTACGTTGGGTAGCATTGGGGGCCCGAAGAATTCTGGAATTATAGCGGGGAGTGCGAACGAAGGGGATTCTACCAGCAACGGAAACACAAACACCCAGGGGAACACAGGTGGTCAGGGGAACACTGGTAGTCACGGCAACACAGGTGGTCAGGGGAGCACAGTTAGTCAAGGCAGCACGGGTGGTGAGGGCAGCACGGGTGGTCAGGGGAATACAGCTAGTCAGGGCAACACGAATAGCCAAGGCAACACGAAAAGCCAAGGCAACACGAATAGCCAAGGCAACACGAATAGCCAAGGCAACACGGATAGCCAAGGCATCACGAATAGCCAGGGCAACACGAATAGCCAGGGCAACACGAATAGCCAGGGCAACACGAATAGCCAAGGCAACACGGATAGCCAAGGCAACACGGATAGCCAAGGCAACACGGATAGCCAAGGCAACACGAATAGCCAGGGCAATACGAAAAGCCACGGCAACTCAGGGAACGCTGGTGACACAGCAAACACAGGGGTTGCAGGCAAGGGCAACTCTGGCAACGCGGGAGGCACCGGCAGCGGCGACAGCAGCAACAGTGGTGGTAACGGTGGCGGTGGAGGTTCGTCGTCGCTCATTGGCGGAACTAGTGTGGGGGCCGCAGGCGGATCGGCGGGCGGAGTGAAGAAATCTCCCCCCAAGGCGAGGCCCCCACCCAGCCCACGGCCCCCAGGGGGGTCTGGTGTGCCGCCGTACTTTGAGCAAATCGACCCATGCGCACCCCCGCCGGAGCCCCCGACGTATGGCGGGTACAAGTGCGTGTGTGCGGATGGGCTCACGATGGTCAACAATAGGGATGGCAGCCAGGCGTGCGTGCTCGGTGAGTAAAGGGGGCTGAGGGGAGTGGTGCGGAGGGAGGGGGGGAGTGTTGGGGTGGGCTCTGTGTTCTTGCAAGTGTGCACACCTTTATGTGTGTGGGTGTGGGTGTGGGTGTGGGTGTGTGGGTGTGTGTGGGGGGGGGGGTGTGTGTGTGGGGGGGGGGTGTGGGTGTGGGTGTGGGTGCTGGCGTGCATATACTTCTCTGCCAAATTCTCCTCCATGTTGTCTCTTCCCCCCCTCCGTTTCTCATTCCCTCTCTCCCTCCCTCCTCTCACTTCCGCTCCCACCTCTGCAACTCCTGCCGTCCCACGCTCACACACCCGTTCATCCCGTTGACCACCCTCCCCCCCCCTTTCCGTGCGCACCAGAGGATGTATGCGGGGTGTTCAAGCTGAACCCGTGTGGCAAGGGCACATGCATGAACGTGGGGGACGGCACGTACACTTGCGTCTGCCCCACTGACTTCGTGCTCAGCCAGCTCAGCTCTGGCGCATCCACTTGCATCCCCAGTAAGCCTCTGCCTGCCTCGCCTGTGCCCTGCCCTGCTCTGCTCTGCTCTATTCCTCCCCCTCGTGGTCTGCTCCGTCTCCTCGTGCTGTTTTGTCGTCTGCGGCCGCGTTTGCAGTAGGTCAGCCACCTGCTCTGTGCCTGTGATGTCCTATCTGGCCGACTCTCCCCTGCTCTGCCCTGCTGACTCCTTCCTGTCTCACGACCTACGCTGTCCCTCTACCTACCCGGTATCCGGCCACCCCACTGCGCCTCACTCACGCCCCTGTCCCCCCTTCCCGGTCTCCTCTTCCCTTTCCCCTCTCCTCTCTCCCCTTCCCCCCCCCAACCCCCTTCTCCGCTCCCTCCTCTCCCCATTGCACGTGCGCCTGTCATGCTGTGAACCAGGGACGTCGGGTGCGGTGACGACGTACGTGACTCAGGCGGGCGACACGTGCTATGCCATCTACTCCATGTTCGGCCTCACGCACTCCGACTTCCTTGACCAGAACGAGGTGCACATGGGGGGGTGGGTGGATGGGGGAGAAAAGGAGCGGGGGCAGATAGGAGGTTTGGAGGGAGAGGTAGAGGGGGTGTGTGAGCTGGGAGAAGAAAGCTGGGAGAGCATTGGTGTGCATTGGTGCCGTGAGTTCTTCTGTTGCCTTCAGCCGATTACTCCATTCATACATACATGCTACTGCGCTGCGCCACTCCCCCCCCCCTCCCCCCTTCCCTTTTCCCTCTCCCCCTCACCCGACGCCCCCTCCCCCCACGCTCTCCCTATCTCCCTTGTTGCACTTTTCTCCTCCCCCAGTGATTTCATCCCTCCCCACTTTCCTCACTACCTCGCCTCTTTCTTGCTCCCATCGTGGTTCTGATTCTCCTTCCCTGCCCCATGCGTCCCCTATCCCATCCCATCCCATCTCATCCCATGCTTGCGCCTCTCTTTTTGCATCCCCATCGCCTCCATGGCCTCACAGGGTGTGGATTGCACCAATCTGCAGCCCGGCATTCTTCTCAACGTCTCCGCGCCAGCCTCTGCCCTCATCTGCATCACCCACTACCCCGTCTCCGCGGTGCTTACCCTAAACTCGAACTCTTTCCTCCTCGCCTTTGTTTGTGGGAAACTCTCCCTAAAATCGTCATGCCGTGCCTCGGCTCCGTGTCCCCCTCCCTCCCGGGCCACCTGCAGGCACTTGCCTTCGTGTTTCTTGATGCCCAACAGCTAATTTCACCCACCTCTTCTCCCCTTCTCCGCCCCCCACCCCCCCTCCCCTCCCCTCTCCTTCCCGCCTCCCCCTCCGTCTGTTGCTCTGTCTGCCTCCTCGTTCCTTGCTTCCCTCCACTCCGCCCCCTCACTTGCCACCACCACAGGTGGACAGCCTAGCGGCGGGGTGCACGGCCCTGGAGGCCAAGTTTGGAGTGAACCTGACGGACCTCAACCCAGGCCTCAACTGCGCGCAGCTCATCCCCGGACAGCAGGTGCTGCCCTCTTCCTGTGCCGCTGCCATTGTGTGCTCGCTGTTGTTGTGCAGTGTGTATGTGCACATGCATAATTCCCCCATGTCTGTCTGTCTTGGAATGGTGGGCCTACGTCACTGGATGCTAAATCAATTTATCTTCCCCCCCTCACCAACACCCCCCCCTTCCCCCCACACCCTCTGTCGTCCTGCCCTCCTCTCCACCCGCTCCCTCCAATCCCCCTCCGCTCAGGTGTGCCTGGAGCGTGCGCTGAACGTGGAGGGCGCGAGCAACTACCAGCTGTGCACAGAGTACCACAGCATCGCAGCGGGCGACACGTGCGACACCATCATTGCTGCGGCTTCCATCTCGTGGCTCACGCTGTACCGCCTCAACCCTGGGCTGCTCTGCGACAACCTCAACCCGCTCATGCAGCAGGAGGTGCGCGCTTGGGTTCACGCGCTGCTGGGTGTTGGTGGGGTGGTGTTTGGGTGGGAGGAGGGAGGAAAGGGAGAGGGGTTGTGGGGGGCATTGTGCGTGAGGGGAGGGAGGGAGGTGGGAGGGTGGTTTGGGGCAGTGTGGAGCGGGGAGGGAGCTCAGCATATGGGAGCACACGTGAAGGAACAGGAGATCTGGAAGTAGCTTGCTCTGCCTCATTCGTTCCTTTCCTCGTTTCGCCCTCTCTCCCCTCTCCACGCCCCCCCCCCGGCTACCCCCTCCCTCTCCCCGCCGCCCCCCTGACTTCAGGTCTGCATCGCGGGGGTGCCTCTGGGCGCGGTGGCGTGCGGTTCAGTGCGGTCGCGCGCTATCCGCAACGTCAAGTACACGGTGCAGCTGGGCGATACGTGCGGGTCGCTCATCCTGAACCAGTTCCGGCGCAACGCCACGCTCGTGCCTGCGCTCAACCGCGGGTGGATCTGCCGCCCCAGCAACCTCTTCCGCGGCATGCCCCTCTGCACCCCCATCTGAGCCCTTCGACCCAGAGTTCCTCCCTCTTTCCTCCCTTCCTCCCTCCTCCCCTCCTTTTCTTCTTACTCTAGCCATCACTCCCTCCACGCTCTACCCTCCCTCCTCCCTCGTTTTGCCCCTTGTTCCTGCCTATTCTTCGCCCCACCCGTCCGTCCATCTTGCCGCCCTTTACCTCCTCGCCCCTCAAAGAACTGAAGGGGCGAGCATGCTCAATGCGAAGGCCTCAACAGCAGCCAATTCCCTTGGGTCTCAGCAACCCCCTCTCATCCCTCTATCAAGTGGTGGTGGTGTACCGTGTACGGTAGTTCCTCTCCCACCTTCTGCGGCGTGAGATGCCACTCCCTACTATACATATGGTATGATAGCACTTGTGAACGAACTGAACTGACACTCTACCCCCTTATAGCTGGGTGGGTGAGTGGTGTGGAGGCAACTCTAGACTTGCAGGGAGCGCTTTGATTGCAGTTGCCTTCGCTGTTAAGGCCGCAGACATACTGGTTTGTTTTTGCGTTTTTGTCCTGCTCCTTGTTAACAGCTGTATGTATTTATATATTTGGCGCTAAGAGTAGATTTCCTTCTCAGCGATTTGCTGAATGTAGGTGCTCAATAGGGAGAATCATTCTGTATAATCGTTATCAGAAGGGTGTTAGCTATACGAAAGGCATGCGGATTGACGAAATAGGGTTACTAGCTTCGAGTTTCGTGTCAGGGTCGTTTACCCCATGCCGAGCCGCCCGCCTTCCCCACTCTACTTAGTACGCCGGCGTGCTTAGTACTTCGTGGCGTGTTACCTCAAGACTCCTGTATCGCGTCCCTCGCGGTAACTTGAAGGACACACGTGTTTCTAGATGCGTGTGTGTCTTGCGATCGATCGATCGACCGCTCACCACCACCACCGTCCTTGATGCGACGCGCACCCTCCTTGTCGGCCCGTCTGGTTGCTGCCGGTCCAATGAGCCTCCATCTCCTCTCAGATTCTCCCTATCAGATCCCATCCTTCAGATTCTCCCTCCCGAGCCGTCTGATACTCTCCGCGGCGCCCTCACAGTCGCGCGCAGTCTGCGCGGTAGCGTGCTAGCGTGAGGCCGTCCGCCTTATTACTGTCCCCGGCCTAGCACACGTCGGCAGAAGGATCGCCAGACTGGCCGGCGGAACGAGTAGTAAGTACTAGTTACTTACTGCTATTAGTAGTAGCCGGCAGCACCCATCAGTCCCGGAACGGAGCAATGGCGTCGACGGGCATGCGTCCAGCGCATACCGTTGCCGTGATGCGCCATGATCCCACTACCATCGTCGTCGCCGCCTCTCGCCGTGCGGCGCCGACGGCGGGCAGCCTTGTCCGTGTTTCGCCTGCGGCCACCACCGCTTGTCGCGCGAATAGCGCCGGACCTCAACGTGCGCCGCTCGTAGGCGGCTCGCTGCGCAGCAGGCGCGAATCTCTCGATAAGTGTTGCGCGCGACGAGGCGGCGGCTCCTGGCGGACGTTCGTCGGCTTGAGATTTTGGCAGCGCGGGGAAGGGGAGGGGGAGGTAGTGCTCGTCACAGAGTTCCGCCGCAGCCGGTTGAACAAGCAGACACGCGGAAGATTCCGCCACTGGGGGTCAAGCGCAACCGGGGATGCGCGGGATTCCCCTGGCCGGGGGAGTTTCCGCGCAAGGGGGGGAATGCAGGAGGATGTGTGGCAAGGGGGGGGGTGGGGGGAAGAGAGCAGCCGCAGCGGCAGCAGCGGAGGCGGGGGTTTTGGCGGTCTCCGCGACCCCCTGCAGGCGCTAAGCCGCGCGCGCCCATCCTCCGCGGAGGCGGACTCTCTCCCCGCAGATGTTCGCAACAGGGCGCTCTCCGCGGTAGAGGCGCTTGTGGCGGAACCTGGGCGGGCGGCGGGGGGGAGTCAAGCCGGCGGAAGCGGAAGGGGGAGGTACGGGCGGGTGACAGTGGGTGACGTGGCGGCGCGCAGCGGATTGAAAGTAGGCGACGCGGAGAATGCTTTAAAGGCGTTTGCTGCGGACGGGGAAGGATTTCTAGAGGTGAGGCCTGAGTGAGTGGGGCCTCTTTCCCCCCATGTGCCATATGAGGCCCCCCTGTGACCCCCCTGTGCGCTATGAGCCCCCGCTGTGAGCCCCCGCTGTGAGCCCCCACTATGGGTCTGTGTGGATGGGACTGATATCGATTCTGTGGTGGATTGCTTTTGAGGCGACTCAAAAGCTGGGATTCTGTTTAGAGTGTTGTGGGATTCGATTTCTTGCGCTCCGCGTTCCGTGGCTTGGGGGTGGGGGGGAGGGAGCCGAGAGGGTGAATGCGAGCAGGGAATGACGACCTCCATGCTTCTTAACCTCTCCGCATGCCCTTCTAGTTTTGAGGCGCCTCAAAACTAGCAGTGAATGACGATCTCCATGCTCCTTAACCTCTCCGCATGCCCTTCTCTCTAAGCCCGTCTTCCCCCCTTCCACTTCCATCCTTCTCTCCACAACCCTACTCCGTCCCTCCCATCACCTCTCTTCCCCTCCCCCTCTCCCTCTCCCCCTCTCCCTCTCCCCCTCTCCCCCTCCCACCTTTCCCAATCCCCCCCACCTTCCCCCACCACCCCCAGGTGTCGGACGAGGGTGGCGTGCTGTACGTGCTGCTCTTCTCTCTAGGCCCGTCTTCACCCGTCAACTTCCATCGTTTACTCCACAACCCAACCCCTTCCCTCCCCCACCTCCACCCTCAACTCAACCCCCCCAATCCCCCCCAATCTCCCCCAATCTTCCCCCAACCCCCCCTCCCCGCCCCCCAGGTGTCGGACGAGGGCGACGTGCTGTACGTGCTGCCGCGCAACCTGCGTGCGCTCATCTCGCAGCGCTCCCTGCGCATGCGACTCGCGCCCATGGCAGCACAGGCCAAGGTGAGGTGCGGTGCGGTGCGGTGCGGTGAGGTGAGGTGAGGTGAGGTGATGTGCAGCAAGGGTGCGGTGAGGTGTGGCTCAGGTGAGTGCCATAATGCATGGCTCGCTCGCAGGTGAGCAACTAGCCTGTTCCTTGTTGGCAGCTGTAGCCTAACCAAGGTGAGAGCGCGGCGTGGCGTGGTGTGGCAGGGCGTGGCACAGTCGTCGCTATGTTGCCAAACCCCTGTAGCTTTCTACCATGCAGGACTGGCAAGTACCGTTAACAGAAAGGGCTAAGGATTCCCAGTCTCTGGTATAGACCTCGCCCTCGCCACTCGGGCCCATGTCACGTCAAGCTGTGATGGCATGTCCACCTCTGCAGCCCTCTCTCCTCTCATCCATGCCTCCCCTCTCCTCTTCCTCCCCCTTGTCCCGCCTCCCCCCTTTTGCCAGCCTCCCCCATCGCCCCGTCCCCCCCAATTCCTCACCTCCCCCCATGCCCCGCCTCCCCCCTCACCCAGTCTCCCACCTCACCCCGCAACCCCCTGTCGCCCCGCCTCCCCCCCTGCTCTGTTGGTTCGTTGGCAACAATGGGAACTGTGTCATGATCCCATTCGCCCGTCTTGTCTCTCCCCCTAGCTCCTTGCTGTGAATCCCCCTCGCTTGTCTTTCTCTCCACTCCACATCCCAGCCGCCACTCTTCTCTGAGCCGCTCAAGAATTCCTGCGTGCGTGTCCCCCCTCCCCTTTTCACCTTACTGCCAGCAGTGCGCAACGTGCTACGAGCACTCCCTGGGTGCCAGGTGTGTTGTGCGCACCAACGCCCACCAACCCCCCCAACCCCTCTGTATGTGTGTGCGTGCGTGCATGTAGGCGGCAGCAGGGTATGCGATGCGAGTGTCGTTCGGCACGGCCCTGGTGGCCTCGGTGGTCGTAGTGTACACCTCCATCTTCCTCCTTATGACCTCCGCTCAGGGGTAAGCGTGCCCGCATGCCTGAGTGCTTGCGTGCCTGCGAGCGTGCACTCTGCACATGTTTCTGCTGCGGTGCATGTGGGGCATTGTGCTGATTTTGTAGGCGCCTCAGCAGTGGCCCTTGGTGGGGTTGGTTGTCGTGTATACCTTTATCCCCCTCGCGACCTCCGCTCAGGGGTGTGCGCGTGCCGCATGAATGCTTGCACTGCGCATGTTGCACTTGGTGGAAGAACCAAACGGACCCATGGTGCTGTGCTGCGTTGACACGGCTTGCCACAGTGGGCTGAGGTTGACAGACATGTGTGCATGTGTGTGCATGTGTGTGCATGTGTGTGCTTGCATGTGTGTGCATGTATATGCCTAGATGGGGAAAACGGGAGACGAGGAACGGGTCTGGTCTGGGTGCTTGTGGTTATTTGTCTGTGTGGAACGTGGGGGTGACGGTGGGAGGACAGGGGAGGGGGGAAGAGTGAACAGGGGATGGGTGAGGGGGGCTGGTGGGGGATTGGGGACTGGAGGTTCATTTTCGCAGCGGTCATTTGATCTGGTTGCATATCTTGCTCTCCTCCTGCTCTGCATGCTGCTAGGCATTTTCCGCACTTCACCCCCCGTGTAGTTCCTGTGACCGCCCCCCTCTCGTCGTCGTTCCTCCTCTCCTACCACCCCTCTCCCACCCGCCCCATTCCCTTCTGTTCGCCACTATCCCTCGTCCGCCGATCTCCCTTTCCCCCCCCCTCTCATTCCTCCGTCTCGCTCTCTCCCCACCTGCTCCCTCGTCCCCATCCTACCATCCTGATCGCAGGGACAGCGATGAGAGGAGGGGGAGGGGGAGAGGGCACTACCATCACTACCGGGGGCCCACTTTCTTCTTTAACGTTGCGGACCTGCTATGGTGAGAATAGGTCTTCGCTCCTCTGGGTTGGGTTGGATCCCTCTGGAGGCTTGCTGCAGATCAAATGCACCTTTTTCTTTGATCTTGCAGACCTGCTATGGTGGGTGATACAAGGGTGATGATGTGTGGGTGATGATGTGTGGGTGATGATTTTTGGGTGATGATGCATGTCATGCCTTTGTGCTGCCGTCCGTGTGTCATCATGCCATGGCATGGCAAGTTAGCACCATCACCCGGCTCAACATCTGCGGCTCGCTCTGCTGCTGTTGTAATCCTCTACACCTGCCTAGTCTGCTCTTTGGCATCTCTTCCTCCTTCCCCTCCCTCTCCCTTTCATGTCCCCTCCGCTTCCCCTCCCCCCACCCCCCAGGTACTGGGACCCGGGGTATCACCGACGAGTGCGCAGTGAGCTGCAGCTGAGGGAGATGACCTTCCTTGAGTCGGTGCGTGCGCTGGAGAGTGTGTGGGGGGGGGAGGGGGGAGGGGGGGGGGAGTTGAGGGGAGAGTGTGTGTGGGGGGGAGAGGGAGAAGAGGAAGGAGGGGAATGTGGTGTGGGGAGGGGGATTTGGTGGGGGGCATTATGTGCCAATAGGTCAGGTCATAAACAGCAACACCGCGCGCGTGCACTCACTCACTCACTCACTCACTCACCCCCCTCGCTCACACCTCGCATCAACCTGTTCCCTCTGTCCTTCTTGTGGTCTCCGTTGTTGGTCACCACTCTCTCGTTCCTCCCTGCCCCCCCGTCCCCTCCCCTCTCTCCCTCCATCCCACACGCACACTAGCCCTATTTGCTCTGATTACTCCTGCACCACCCTCTCATTTCTGCGTGTCCTGCTTGCTTCTATCCCTCTGTCTGTCCCGGTCCCTCTCTCGTTCTCTCCCACCTCACCCCCCTTTCCCCCCTCTCCTCCCCTCTTCTCCTCCACTCCCCGTCCACCAACCCGCGCTTCCCTGTGCTGCTGACTACTATGCTGCTGTGGCGTGTGTGGTGCACCAGGTGTTTTCATTTGTGTTTGGGGACGGAGACCCCAATGACGGCAGGGAGCAGCACAGGTGGAAAGTGGTGCGTGCCCCATGCCCTAAGCTGCATACCCCATACCGCATGCGCCATGCTGCATACCCCATGCCCCATATAACTTGCATCGTCTCTCATGTCCATGCCGCGTGCCCCATGCAGCTGCTGGCTCGTTCGACATGCCCCAGGCCCCCATGCCCCATGCCCCATGCCCCATGCCCCATGCCCCATGCCCCATGCCCCATGCCCCATGCCCCATGCCCCATGCCCCATGCCCCATGCCCCATGCCCCATGCCCCATGCCCCATGCCCCATGCCCCATGCCCCATGCCCCATGCCCCATGCCCCATGCCCCATGCCCCATGCCCCATGCCCCATGCCCCATGCCCCATGCCCCATGCCCCATGCCCCTTGCCCCATGCCCCATGCCCCATGCCCCATGCCCCTTGCCCCATGCCCTCGTGCCGCATGCCGCACGCCCCATGTCGCATTCCCCCTGTTGCATGCCCCATGCCCACATACCCATGCCACACGCCCCATGTCGCATGTCGCATGCCATACTTCACAGTGCTGCATGTGCGCATGTCTTATGCCATGCTCCATACGTCTGAGCGTATCACTTTCTGCCTCCTGATGCTTTCCTTGTGTCTCTGCCCCCCTGTGTGTGTCTCTGCCCCCCTGTGCCTCTGCCCCCCTGTGCCTCTGCCCCCCTGTGCCTCTGCCCCCCTGTGTCTCTGCCCCCCTGTGTCTCTGACCCTCCGTGTTCCCCCCCGGGTCTGCCCCCTCTACACTGGTCCCTGCCATGTGTGCCTGCGGTGCGTGGGTGGCAGATAGGCGAGGCCATCAGCAGCAGGGGCGGGGTGGTGGCAGCACAGGAGATAGCGCCGTACCTTGACCTGCCAGAGGACACGGTCAGTGCAGGGAATGGCATGGCATGGCACGGGAATGTGCATGGGATGTGCATGGGTTGTGCATGGGATGTGCATGGGTTGTGCATGGGATGTGCATGGGATGGCATGGGATGTGCATGGGATGGCATGGGATGTGCATGGGATGGCATGGGGATGTGCATGGGATGGCATGGGGATGTGCATGGGATGTGAATGGGGATGTGCATGGGATGGCATGGGGATGTGCATGGGATGTGAATGGGGATGTGCATGGGATGTGCGTGGGGTGTGCGTGGGGTGTGCCTGTGACATGCAATAGGGCATAAGCCCCTGGTGAGTGGGATGTTGACAAACAGAGAAATGTGCTCAGTGACATACGGTGATCTGGGTTGCAAGCAACAGGCTGACGTTCTGGATGGGAGGCTTTGGCTGGCTAAAGTATCACAGAGAATGGCACATAACTCCCGCCTCCTCTTCTGTCCCTTCATTCCTTTTTCTCGCCCTTCGTCTTCGTCCTTCGTTTCCCAGCTTTCCCCCTCCCATCCCTGCTTCCTCGTCTGTGATATTTTAGTCGCCCACTATCAATCCCACTTTCCATCCTCACCCCCCTCCTCAGCCCTCTGCCCCCGTCTCCTCCCGCCCCTCGGCCTCAGTCGCACGAGTCGTACATGCTGCCAGTGCTGCAGCAATTCCAAGGCACACCCCTCGTGGACGACCAGGTAGGCTTGCTGCTGCTCCCCCACTCTCTCTTCTGCATGCGCTTGCTTGCTTGCCTTCCACGTATTTTAGCTGCTCTCTTGGTGCGGCACACGGCTTTCTGAATGTGCAACGGGCTTATTGTCGTGCTCTGGAACACTCTCTTAATTGCTGCACTTGCCCCTCTGCACTTGCCTCTCCGCTCTTGTCTCCATCGGACTTTCCTCTCTGCATGCTTCGTTTTCTCTTGCCTTTATCCTCCTCCCACCCACTGCCCTTGCCTTCACTCTCCCTCCACCAGGGTCACATATTCTACTCTTTCCCTCTTCTTCAACGCTCAGCATCGCAGCATGCCTCCTCCTCCTCCTCCCCTTCATACTCACGCGCGCTGCCACCGCTCTTCATTGAAAACACCTGGTCCTTCAGGTGAGTTCTGTCAGGCGCTCAGGTGGACTCTCTTGGCGCCTCACATGAGCTCTGTTGGTTCTTCAGGTGAGATTTGTTCATTCTTCAGTTGAAATTTGTTCTTTCTTCAGGTGAACTCTGTTAGTGCGTCAGGTGAGCTTTCTCGGTTGTTCTTGCGACATTCTTTGAGTACAGTGATTGCCATCTCATCCTATCCTGTGCAGTGATTGCCATCTCATCACGCTGTTAGCGGGGCCTCCCGTGTGTTCCTGCCTGCTCATCCTATCCTTCCCCCCTCCCTCCTCCCCAGTGACGCTCCCCCCACGAAGCGGGCCCTGGCAGTGGGGCTGGGTATCATCAACGTGGTCGGCGTGCTCGTCCTCTCCTCCATGCTCAGGTGAATTCTGAGGTGCTTTCCTCCATGTTCAGGTGTATGCCCACGTTCTCTCGTCCATGCTCAGGTGCTTGCCTCTATGCTCAGTGGAGTCGGTGTGGGTTGGTGGAGCATGGATGTGTGCTACCGCGTGGGCATTGGGTCAGGAGGGATCTGTCTACACTTTGAGGAATGGGCAAAGGCTGGAAGGTCTGGAGGCTCTTTTTTGTACTGCTATGCAGATTTTCTCTGCAAATGGAGCTCGCTTTCCTCTCTCCATGTTCTGTGTCTTCCCCTGCCTCGCCTTGTATACCCATTGACACTGTTCTTTTGTGGTCTTCACTCCCTCTTGCTCTCCCCCACCCCCGTCACGCCAACCACCCTCCCAGGAATCCTGCCATTATTCGGAAAGCAGGGCCCCCATTAGTCTCCATGATACAAGGCTTCATGCCTGCACTCCAGGTGATGCCTGCACTCCAGGTGATGCCTGCACTCCAGGTGATGCCTGCACTCCAGGTGATGCCTGCACTCCAGGTGATGCCTGCACTCCAGGTGATGCCTGCACTCCAGGTGATGCCTGCACTCCAGGTGATGCCTGCACTCCAGGTGATGCCTGCACTCCAGGTGATGCCTGCACTCCAGGTGATGCCGGCGCTCCAGGTGATGCCTGCAATCCAGGTGATGCCGGCACTCCAGGTGATGCCTGCACTCCAGGTGATGCCTGCGCTCCAGGTGATGCCTGCACTCCAGGTGATGCCGGCACTCCAGGTGATGCCTGCAATCCAGGTGATGCCTGCACTCCAGGTGATGCCTGCACTCCAGGTGATGCCTGCACTCCAGGTGATGCCTGCACTCCAGGTGATGCCTGCACTCCAGGTGATGCCGGCACTCCAGGTGATGCCTGCACTCCAGGTGATGCCTGCGCTCCAGGTGATGCCTGCACTCCAGGTGATGCCGGCACTCCAGATGATGCTGGCACTCCAGGTGATGCCTGCACTCCAGGTGATGCCTGCACTCCAGGTGATGCCTTCACTCCAGGTGATGCCGGCACTCCAGGTGATGCCTGCACTCCATGTGATGCCTGCACTCCAGGTGATGCCTGCACTCCAGGTGATGCCTGCACTCCAGGTGATGCCTGCACTCCAGGTGATGCCTGCACTCCAGGTGAGGCCTGCACTCCAGGTGATGCCTGCACTCCAGGTGATGCCTGCACTCCAGGTGATGCCGGCACTCCAGGTGATGCCTGCACTCCAGGTGATGCCTGCACCCCAGGTGATGCCGGCAGTCCAGGTGATGCCTGCACTCCAGGTGATGCCTGCGCTCCAGGTGATGCCTGCACTCCAGGTGATGCCGGCACTCCAGATGATGCTGGCACTCCAGGTGATGCCTGCACTCCAGGTGATGCCTGCACTCCAGGTGATGCCTTCACTCCAGGTGATGCCGGCACTCCAGGTGATGCCTGCACTCCATGTGATGCCTGCACTCCAGGTGATGCCTGCACTCCAGGTGATGCCTGCACTCCAGGTGATGCCTGCACTCCAGGTGATGCCTGCACTCCAGGTGATGCCTGCACTCCAGGTGATGCCTGCACTCCAGGTGATGCCTGCACTCCAGGTGATACCTGTACTCGAGGGTGGTACCGCATTCTTCCACTGCCCAAACTTCTAACTCTTGTTTCGAGTCCTTTCGCCTCTGGCATTCCCTAATCAACTCAGTCACCTTGGTCTCCATTGTGTGTCCCATCTCCTGTGTGACATTCCCCTATTCGCCTCGCATTTCCCAGGCCTATTCCGTGGCATTCTTTGTCATCCCCTTGTGCCGCTGGGCCGTCCTCAGTTCCACCAACTCAGCCATTGAGGCTCGCAATCAGAGGAGGAGAGAGAGTGCCCACATTCTGTCACAGCCCTCGCCCCACCTTCGGAAGAAGGTTAGTTACAACACCGTCACCACCACCTTCTGCTACTTCTTTTCAAGCCATCCCAACAGTTCACTTATAGTGTGCCAGCTAAATAAGTAAGGTGTGCTTGCTCCTTCCAGCACTTGGCTGACTCGATCCAATTTTCCTGCCTTTCTGAAATAACCCCAGTTCCCCATATGTTCGACTCACTTCCCACTTCGCAGCTGGCTAGTGCGCGAACAAGGGCTGAACGGACTGTACTAGGGGAGGAGCGAGTGATATATTCTACACAAAAAGAGGTGGCGGAGCAGGATTTGGAGGCGAGGGAGTGGGAGTCGCGGTTTGACAAGAGGCATCAGTTATAATTTTCCGTTGCGAGGAAATGTGGCATTACAAAATGCAGCGTGAAGTCGATCCATACACGCATTGTAGTTAATTTTGGCCTTTTTTTGTTTCGACCTTTTCAATACATGTTGATGCATTAACCATTAGATGAGCCGTTGGATAGATATCGTTCAATTGTACATGTATACAGTTCCAGTGTTCTCGCTATATCGAGAAATTCACACCAAGCGTTCCTAGGGGAAATGCAAGGTGCCATCAGCGGCTTGTGATTGCCATAAGAATCCACAGACGGGGCCATTCGTCATTCACCAAATTCTTTCTTCCCTTCCGCTGTGAAGATGACTAAGAAACGAGAGGGCCGAAGCCGTAGAAGCAATGGCACCACTGAGATAAGGTGCAAATGTTGTCAATCTGAGAGCAGCATCGCTTCAACAAGCTCTGTTGCCACCCTGGAGACACCAACAATAAGCCTTTTCTGCAACATATCTTCTTCATGGAGCTCCGAAACGCAATCAGGAGAAGCCAGTAGCTCTTGCAGCATTGCAGGTTCACGAAGAAGAAAATTTTCGCTCCTAAACCCTTCTGTCGACCATGAGGTTTCCTCGACTCTCAAGCAACAGCGAACAGGCATGGAGACTATGAAGAAGTTTGACCGCCCAATGCCAGCAATCCCACAGGTTTCACCTTTCCGTTTTTTTATGTCGTAATATCTTCTTGTTTCTTGATGACAATTGCTCACAACGAAACACGCTCGCAGGTGGATTCTATGCCATCGAGCACTATTTTCTACCCTCTTCCAAAGGTAGATGAAGCAGAGGAATAAACTTTACGGCCCCATGGCCAACGGGTTCCCAATCCATGCTCAACGAGCATTCATGACTTAATATGTTCTGAGTGGACAACAAACGGCCAAGTTACGCTGGAGACGGCACTTGATTCTTCATTTCTTCAAGATTCATAACACATTGACGATCTTAGAAAGCGTGGTGCGGAGCTTCGCGTGACCAGAGCCCCCTCTCAACCCGGTAAAGATTTCGCTGGCATGCTTATTTGGAAGGATACACTTGTGTCTTGAAGACAATGAGCATCATGGAAGTTTACCTAGATATCATGTCCTCGAAGTTCATTTTGTCCGTTGGCTCAACACATCTTTCTGGCTGTCAAAGAAGCTACGGCCTTCACTTATCTGTTCCTGTGAAAGGCAGCGTTTTGGGAACCCCTCCCACGTTTACACCAGTTCATGGTAAGGCTGCATATGTGCATGCTAACTGAGTATAAATTACTCCGGCGCCCGCTTCCCATATTTCTAATCAGACTTACGTTGAGGGTGGGGCCCAAAGGTTAGATGTTTGATAGTGTGCTAAGGATCGTGGTCAGGGTTCCCGTTAGCAGACAAAACTGCTCATCATATTTTGTATATGTTATAGGCTAGATATGTGCAGCCGTATAGAGAGTACAACACCTTAGACAAAACTACCCTGTATCACACATTCTAGTCAATCTTTCTACTCTGAGATGGTATCACGCTAGGTTAGGATCCCGCCCACCTGCGCTTCCTGTTGAAACAGCTAAGGAGCTAGGTAGCCATGAGAAATGTCGAGAGGTTTAGCTAGGTAGCGAGATAGGAGAGGGAGTTGGCGAGAGAAAAGAGAGTCACTAGGAAAGAGGGACAGATACAAGAAGGGGGGATTGTCCCTGTCAAACATATTTGTACATGTTGAATAGACTAGATAGGGTCATGCCTTAGCGAGTACAATACTTCAGGTCAAAACCACCATGTACTCTGTTTTCTAGTCTATTACACTACTCTGAGATGGTATCATAGTAGGTCCGCCCGCCCGCTTCCACCCTCGCCCTAACCTATTGCCCCGCAGTTCCCTTAGCGCGCCCCGCTGGCCTTAGCGCACCCCGCTATTCCTCAGCGCCCCGCCAGCCCTGTTAGCGCGCCCCGCTAGTCCCTCGCCCCGCTGGTCCCTTACGCACCCCGCCTGGCCCTAGCGCCCCGACCGGCCCCCTCGCACACCCGCTGGTCCCTTAGCACCCTTCGCGCCCCGCCCGGCCCTCGCGCCCCGCAGGTCCCACCTGCGCCCCGCCTGGCCCTAGCGCCCCGCTGGCCCTTAGCGCCCCGCCGACCCCTCGCGCGCCCGCTGGTCCCTTGGCGCCTTGCCGGCCGCTCGCGCCCCCCTGGTCCCTTTCGCGCCCCGTCGGCCCCTCGCGCCCTGCCCGGCCCTCGCGCCCCGCTGGTCCCTCCTTCGCCCCGCCTGGCCCTAGCGTCTTGCCGGCCCTTAGCGCCCTGCCAGCCCCTCGCTCCCCACTGGTCCCTCCTGCGCCCCGCCTGGCCCTAGCGCCCCGCCGGCCCTTAGTGCCCTGCTGACCCCTTGCGCGCCCGCTGGTCCCTTAGCGCCTTGCCGGCCCCTCGAGTCCCGCCGGCCCCTCGCGCTCCGCCCAGCCGTCGCGCCCTGCTGGTCCCCTCTGCGCCCTGCCTGGCCCCAGCGCCCCGCCGGCCCTAGCGCCCCGCCGGCCCTAGTGCCCCGCCGGCCCTTAGCGCCCCGTCACCCTTTCGAGCCTCGCCGGCCCCTCGCACCTCGCCGGCCTTCTTCGCGCTCTGCCGGCCCCTCGCGCTCTGCTGGCCCCGTGCACCCCAGCCGGTCCTTCTACGCGCCACTGGCCCTGTGAGCACCGCTCGGCCTTCCGCTCGGTCTTCCTGTTGGGGAGTTCTGCCGCCGCGCCGCTATTATCTGTGCCGTTATGTCGCTGTGCCGCTGTGTAGCTTTGCCGCTGTGCCGCCGTGCCACCGTGCAGCTATGTCGCTGAGGCCGCACGATGGCAAACTCTGTACTCCGCTTGGACGCGGAGGGGCACGCGACCGACTTCGTCGCCTGGCTTGTCGATCTACGCCGTCACCTCACTTGTCAGCGCCAGGATGGGAACTCCCTGGCTGTGCATGTTGATGGCTTACTTCCCCGCCCCCTCGTGCTTGATCCCCTCCCTGCTGACCCCACCACTGCTCAGCGTGAGGTCTTTCCTGCTGCTGCGCTTGCTCGCGCTGTCTAAGATTCTCGCGATGCCGCCGCGCAACTAGCCATTAGTCATGCCCTTCCTCTGTTTGAGCATCTGCGCTTCACTGCTGTCGCGCATACCGAGGATTTCTTAGATGCAGTCGTTGCGCGCTACTCCACGCCCGCCTCCACCTCTTCTGGCTGCCTGATCCTCCCTATGTTGTTCCCTGATCTTGCCACTTTCCCCACGGTCACTGACCTAGCCACTCACCTCCGTGCACTAGAAGCTTGCTACCGAGCCGCTAGCACAGACGCCCAGCTCACTGCCTTCCCCCCGGCGTTCTTCGCTACCCTGTACCTCATTGTCATGCGCCTTCCGGATCGCTTAGCCACTGCCCGCGACCACTTCCTTAGTCAGCACCCAGGTGACATCACCCTTACCGCCTTTGTCACCGCCCTGTCTGAGTTAGAGACTTGCCAGCGCACTATCGCTCGGTCGAGCGGTACTGCGGCAGTCCCTATCTTTCAGGGATGTGCGCCCTCCCAGTGCACGTACGCTGACCTCTCAGCCTCGGTCGCTGCGACTGCCGCTGCCGCTGATACCGCAGCTGCGGCGTCCCCGCAGCCGCGCTCGCATCGGGGCCGTCGTGGCCCCAAGGAGGGGCGTGGTGGCGGGGGTGGTGGGGGTGGTGGTGGTGGTGGTGGCGGGGATAGTGAGTCCGACGAGGGGATCGGGCCTGGTGCCCAGGAGCAGTAGCAGCCGCAGCCGTCGCAGCAGCAACCGTCGCAGCAGCAGCAGTCGTGGGCCCGCCTCCCGTCGGGGTGGCCAGGAGCCTCTGGCGGTGGTGGCCGCGGTGGGGGCCCTCGCAGCTCGGCGTCGGCCAGCAGCCTCGGTGGTGTGAGCTGCCAGTACCAGTGTGAGAGTACGACCCCGTTACACCACTTGGCCTTTTCTTATTTCCTTCCTATTTCATTTCTCTTTTTATCCCATCTCATTTGGTTTCCTATTCTTCCTTTTCCATTAGCCTTTGGTTTATCCTGCTAATATAATTATATCGCCGACCAGGCTTGGGATGTACTGGGCACTATATCTCGCGTAATCCTGCTGTAATCCCTTAAAGCCAATAGCCTCGCGTGGCTATACGCAGGGTGATTCTATCTTCTAGAAGGGTCTATTCCCTTAGGATAAGATAAACCTGGTTACCTGATGTACTTTGGAAGTATAAAAGCGCCTTGTACTGATCGATAGTGCAATCTTTCCTCGAGTCATTCGATCCTGTGACAACCAGCTCCAGATCGGCCCCCTCCGCGGTACTATGTGTCGTCGCTCGCACGCGACCGCCCGCTGCTTCTGCCACCTCGACGACCTCTTTTGTCGCCGCTTCGGCCCAGCCCCGGACCTCCCTGACTGGCCCAGTTTGCTGCTCTATGGTGTGCCTGTCTTTGATTTAGACATGGATCAGATTAGTTATGCCATGCATTCTCTGTATGCTGATGCTTCTAGTTTGCCCGGATCTTTTTACACGGTGTTATCTAGTTTAGGTGTAGTACCAGTGTGTAGAACAGACTTCCCTGCTGCGTGAGGCGTAGGACCTTTTGCCTTGTCTAGCCTAGGCTCCACGCTCGCTCTTCCTCCGATCGCAGCCTCTGCTTCGCTGTCCTTTACGCTTGACTCTGGTGCATCTGCATGCTTCTTCCGCCACCACGCCCTTTTGGTCCTGTCGTCGCCCGTAGCTACACTACCCTTCCCTGTCTAGCGGTTCCCTCGCATTCTCTTACAGGCTTGCACATCCCTTCATTCTCCAGGAACCTAGTTGGTGTCGGCAGTCTTCAGGACCTCGGCGTCACCACTACGTTCCCTGGTCACGAGCGGTACGCTGTCTGTACCGAGGCCGCCTCAGGTGCCCCCCTTGCGACGTTCCCACTGGACCCGGTGTCTGGCCTATTGACGCTGGACACTGCTCCCCCCTCGGTGGGCACGTCCTCCCAAGGTCTTGTGTCTACCCAGGTCATTGCGGCTTGCTCGTGGCGGTCGCTCACTCACTCGTCGCTTCTGTGCCACAACCACCTAGGTGACCCCGCACTCCCGCGTCTGCGTCACATGTCTCAGCACGGTCTCGTCCTAGGTCTTCCTGCGTCACTCCCTACCCTCCCACCCTCACTTGCACCGCCGAGCACTCCTTGC